CAAACAGGCTGTAGAGCTTCAGCAAAACATCAGAATTCTCTTTCACCTGGATACTTGTTTGCCAATAAGACTTTATTTCCATCTCAAACAATCTCTTCAATGTCACTCTCAGACACCTGACTTGCCATTTCCCGTTTCTGTTCCGAACGAGAACTCATAGTACCACTCAAATGTCTTCTCGGTGTGTGTCCAATACATCTTATTGTCTTTCTGTATATTTGTTTGACGAAATGTTCTTGATTCTTTCGTTACTAAAGTTCCTTTTCGCTTATTCTTTCTCACCAGACATTTGATCTTCAGTATGGGGTAAAGTGAGCGGTTGTTAATGAAAGCCTGCAGCATGTTCAGATCAATAATTATTCTGTACTTTATTCTTGCAGATACCCTTTAGGTCGTATGCAGTTCACAAGATCTGTATAAATAAAATTATATCACACTCTCCTGTTCAATATTTCAGTAAAGGTCAGATAAATGTTGTGTGTAGTGTGAAACGCGACTCCTAACAAACATATTCTTACCCACCAAGTTTAATATTCACGGAAAATATTCAAGTATTTTAGTGTGGCTTACAAATGAAATGTGTATCCATGTAATCTGCTTTAACCAAGCTGCTAAATCCACTTCATAAGTAGTAACCATATACTTTAAAAGCGATCTAGATAGAAGCTCATTTTACAGTTCACCTGATATCATTCACTCCTTTTCTAGCGTTAATAAACTTACTAACTTGAGATATAAGTCTCATCTCTTTATGAAATATGATATACGTTTGTTGTTTGAAGCTTGCTGCCATGCTGTAATTGAATCGATTAGGCGGTGACTTTAATTCTTCACTGGAGTGAATGCACTTTAATAATATCTGTTTTCTTCTGAATAATTTTTGTCATCTACACGCATGTTATCACTTTCATAATTTGAAGTCAGCTGGTGGTTGGTTACTAGCAGTGGAATCCAGAATGCGCATTTCATCCTATTTGGGACGAATAAGTAATTATTTTCCCACCGAGGTTCGTACCCAATGCCTGTTGTTTCAAACGCCAAAGTGTTATCCACTAGACCACGACTTAGGCCACGAGAGCGACCTCCTGTGCAACGGGTCTGACTAATTATTGAGTTCAATTTACATTTAACCGTCAAGTCCCAAACAGGATGAAATGAGCATCCTGGATTCAACTGTTAGTCACCATCCACTAAATGACTCCAAATTACATGACCAAACATTGTAGAAGCATCTGCACAAGGAGATGATATGTCAACCTGAGACCGAGCACTTCAGTCCAGTCAATCGACTGGAAAATCTGAACTGATTTAAATACTCTCTATAGTGCTTGAAGTATTAAAGTATTACGGTTAGCACTTTTGGCTTTCACCCATGCAACCACTGTCCTTTAGGTTCGTCACTGGTTCATTGATAGAACGGTGGCCAAATAAGTACGTAGTCCGGAGTTCAATTCTTCGCCGATGCATTCCAAATCCTCACCAATCTGGTAGTAAGCTAAAAACAAGAGGGAAGCTTCAGTATGAAGCTGACAAATGAGATCCTTATAAGCCACAGCAAATCTGATGAATCTTAAAGACTTCAAACTTTAAGTTTTATGTTCCACTTGGAATACAAGTAATGAAAAACAGCAAGACTGCAACAGTTGGTAAGCTTCACTACTCCCTTCATGATGGGATGAATATACTCCGAGGACTAAATTAACCAACAGATTGAATGAAGTATAAGGTGTGTCAAATAAAATAATAAGTTCGCTTGGATGATAGTAACTAGCATTGGAATCCAGGATAAGCCTTTCTTCCTATTCGGGACCTGTCAGCTGGATGTTTCTAAATCCCCAGCCACTGCTGTCATCCTTCCCTGAGACTCAAACCCTTTATTTATCTTTATAAACATCGAAGCGTTAGCTACCAGGCCACTGGGCTACGAGTGACACCTATAGTTCAATCTGTATCATAATTATTCTTCCTTAAGCTGATTCGCATTTGATTACATTGGGCTGAAATGATCAGTCTCAGTGGGACTGTAGGTACGTTCAGCTAAGCAGTTCCATATAGGATAAGACGATTATCCTAGATTTCACCATCAAACAAAGTGACGTCATATCAATCCTTAGATGTGATTGAAACCTCCATACCAGGAGTCAAAATGTTGGCGGAGACAGAGCATTTCAGTCTTGTGTAATCAACCGACGAGAAATACAAATTTGCCTAAATACAAGTAGCAAGTGCCTTTAAAAAACAGAGACTATCTACTTTTTTTCAAATGGTTCTAAATTCAGCAGAAGGTTGTATGCTTAGTATTGGTAGAAGAGGCAGAGAAGGCAGGATTTTAAGTGAACATAGACAGCTATAAAGTAACTTAACCACCACAATAAGCACCAATCCCTACCAATAGGAGAAATATGAAGCAAATCGATTTTTTTCATTTTTCCAGGCAGCATCGATTCAACTACAGGCTGAGCAGATGATGATATCGAACAAAGTCAAGATCGGAAAGGCAACACAGGCATTACTTTATCTGAAATCAGTCTGGAAACCTACAAAAATTAACACTGGATGAATGGTCTACAGGCTCGCATTGTGCTTGAAAGATCCTGTGTTTTAGCCACGATGTGTACGCACTGCCGATGAGTCCTAAATTAGGACGAAACAGCTGTCCGGCACTCTCTGCTTTTACTTGATTCGGTGACTCAAGGTTGGAATTCTTGATAACCACGCTCTTCCTTCTGGTTTCGATCACCCGCTGATACACTCTTAAACCTCGCACAGTCAATTGTAGGATAGGGAAATAGGAGAGGTTGGACGCAAGGTCAGCCACACTACTCCGTAGAAAAGAATAACACCACTACTACTGGAAATTCATACCTCGAATCTTGCAGCCCTATGTCTCACTCGGAACGCAAGAGCAATAAAATAAAATATATAAAATAAATGAAAAGCATAAAGAATGAAATTCAGCGACTTAGCACGCCAAGAAAAGCATTTACAGCAAGCTGATGTAGACTTTCCTCGATGACTAGCTTTGCTCTATAGTGAACATCAAACTGCCATTCGGAAAGGATAAGCAGCAAGGAACTCTGGGAATAAACCATCCAAGAAACTACTGACCGAAAAATATTTAAAGGAAAATAGAGATGGATTGACATCGCACATCTGACAGATCTTTGAATAGGAAACAACAACTTTGGCGCTCAATGGAGATCATGCGAAGAGATGAGGGATTATGAACAATCTTAATGGTTGACAAAGCGGACTGCAGAGCAGAGAATAAAATGAAGGTGTGCTGCTGAAGCTCTGTGTTCCACTGAAAACTCAAAGGAAGAAGAATCATATGACAAAGAAAGCCGAAAAGGACTACCCACTATCTGTAAACAAGAATCCACTTTATATTCGACTACAATTCATGGGCGGTATACCAAGTGAGTTAATTAGGAAGAAATTAAGAAAATCAGTTCAAAGAAATTTTAATGCTGGCGAACTACACGTATTATTTTCAACGTGACCGATGGTGCTACCTCGACTGAAAGGTGAAGTACCTAGACTAGCCACTTCAAATTGTATCTATCAATTCAACTGCGCTTGTGGAGCGAGTTATATTGGCCGTTGCTCTAGGAACTTGATTTTTCGTGCTCACTCGAGAACATCTCCCACTATGGTTAAGTAAAGGTGTAGTTAAAACCATTAACAGCTCGATATTGGACCATCTGGTGCAAACCGGCCACAAAGCTCGCCAGCGTTGAAGAATCCTTCTCTATCATCTACCGGGTGCCTAATAAATTGCCAAAATCATCGAGGCACCGCATGCTCCATACAGCAGAGGCTATTGCAATTCGCCTCAAACAACCAGTGCTCTGTGTTCAAAAGAAACAAGTCCAGCGAGCCCCTACTACTGCCCTGGCTCCTCAGTAGAGACTATAAACTCATAACTTGTACTATTACCTTTCCTAATTCTTCTGACATTCAGTTTATTTTATGTTGATGCTGTTCAGCTGTAATTTATCAATATTATTGATTTGATGTTATTTAAACATTAATGTCGTTCATAAGACTAATTCATTCATTCATTATAATGTATATATAATTGTAGAACCTGATGATGAATTTATCGAAAAGAGTACTCTTTGTTCCGTGTCTATTCTTTTAAAAAATTTTTTAATGGGCATTTTTAATCAGTTAAAATCTTGTTATTGTTTATAATTTACCCCTTGACTGAAAATAATTCTAGAACTTTCTCATCCATTTACTATATGCGCATGACTTCGTCGAAAACAGAAAGCTTTCTTCTCTGCAACTGTCTTTTATTTTTTTTTTCTTTGATTTTCCCTTTATCTGTTTTTCTAAATCTAAAGTGTTTATCAAAGAAGTAGTTAGTCGGATTTTATTTTCTATCTCTAAAAAAAATATATACTAATATCACACACCCACTTTTAGAGGTCAAAAACAAAATTTGTGATAGTGTTACAGACAGACCGATTTGTTTTGTTTTGTTTTGTTTTCAAGGTCAAATATTCATATCACCACACTTAAACAAACACAAGATTGAACCAATGAATAAAAAAAAATCTATCCAATCAAATGTATGAAAAAATGTATTAACCTCTCAGAGAGTAGAAACCTTAGATGTGATAACCAATCAAATTGACTAGCATACTGAAATTGTGAATGATATTCTCTTTCTAAACAGAATACATTGAAAATTGTGCACACTATACTATGACACGATCATCCTATCATCAAAATGGTATAAGTTTGCGTGCTGATGGGTGAATTTTTTTTTCTCTAATTACTGCCGGTAGTGTTTACCAGCAACGCTGTCAACAGTAGGACAGTGTACCACAGTGTCTGCCTGCTCCATAAATATATAAATAAATTTGTTTCAAACAAGCGACAAATCTCAACTCCTCACAATATTATATCTATATTACACACAATTTTTGAATGTCATGGGAACCCTTGTTGGACTGAGATATGGTCTAGGACGTAATTACACAGGATCATTAATGGAATTGAACAACTGTGGATATACAACTAGCAGCTGTGATGAAGAAAAATTTCAAGATCTCATATTGACGAGTAACAAAACTAGCAGTAATGATAATAATTCAACAGAACTAAAACAACCTTGGAATAATCCTAATGATACTACTACGACCAATAATAATGACAATAACAATAAACTTGATAACTTATCAATGGCGCTATGGCTATCGAAGCAAAGTCGAACATTTGGTGCGTATGAAGCCCATTTAGAAACTTCATCCCTGTTGAATAGTTTTGCATTAGATATGCACGATTTTTCAAAATGTCATTTATTCACAGAGAAGCCATCAGCAGCATCATCAACGAATTCATCAAATGCCAAGAATCTACTCGGCTTAACTCAGTTGATTGGGTTAAGTCGTCTTATGAATTTTATCATGTATAAATCACGTCAATCGAATACTTCAGCATCAAATAGTGATAATAACAATAATAGTAGTAATAATAATAATAATATATAATGATAATAGTAATCCTCCTGAAGAAACTCATCGTCATTATCAATGTGGAACATTCACCGATTATATATTCGCTAAAGCTCAAATGGAACAAAAGGCGCGAAGACGTAGTTATTACTATCCTATTTTACAAACATTATCACACTCTAGTTCACTGAATACTAGTCTGACATGTATCAATGAACTACAGCATACCGGTGTAGATACAGAAAGTTTTTTAGTGAATTTTTTGCATAAACAACGTAAACGTCGTCATTATAACAGTGAAAGTGGTTTATTACTCCCTGAAACAGACAATTTGTCAACACCGCTTCAAGCGGATAGTCGAGAAGGTGATGCACAATGTGAAAACAACGATGGAAACAATCCTGAGCATGACACTAATGTTAATCTATGTGATGATAGCGTATTATCAGTGGATTCAAAGGAGACAGAAACGTCAACACTGCCTTCAGAGGTTCATATGAATGTAACTGAAAGCGAAAATGATGCCAGCAGTGAATCAGCGATTGAAAATTCTAAATCAGACGAAAATTTCGCCTCTTCTTCTTCTCCTTCTCTTTCTTCCTCACCTGTTGATAATGACATGGAAAATGCGTCGAAAGTGAATATAAGTAAAACTGATGCACAATATGCACATGAAACTGTTAACAATAACACGACAACTACGGTGAATACAATCCCTCCTAATGATCAATCCAATGTGATTACAGCATCGAATATTATGAAATCGAATGATGCAATAGATGATCAAGATGCAAGTTGTGATCAAACGCAAAAAACAACCGCTTCCAAGATATCATTATCGAAAGAAAATTTAAAATTGCATAAGTCAGTATCATTTGCTGATGAAGTTGGCAAATCGTTGACTGAAATCTTTATTCTGTACGACGAAGACGATGAAGAAAACGATCATTCACATGGTAAGTTAATAGAATTTATACACATTTATTTTTTAGCTTGCTTCTTATCATTTCATTGAAAGTTTATCATTAGGCGATAAGTGAGCGATGATCCGAATCGTTTCAAGCCATGAAGACTGTCGTCAAATGCTTCATGTAGCCTGTGAATCGTTAACACCGCTCATACGCTACCTTGTGGATGGATATTCAAGCACTAGAGATGAGTGACTAGCTTCGAAATGAGTTATTTTAGACTGTAGTATGGTGATATGAGTTGTGCAAGAGAATAATTACTCACAGACAACACTGAATGAATGTTTTTTAATGTTACATCATATTTCATAAGGTGTTTTATCTACTGAGTGAATAATACCGTGCTTACTTAAATCCATAATGGCGCTAATCTAACTCCTGTGCAGTCCTTAAGTAAGAAAAAAAATCACAAATTCATTGCAATTCAACTTTCAGCAATTCTTGACATTCGGGGAAAAATTTACAAATTCAAGCTGTGCGTTAGCAGAGATCTGTGAGCTGGCAAAAGAACTATCATAACACTGTTCATGGATGGGTATCCGCCATTATTTTATTACATCACTATATATATGACTCATAGTAGTGATCCCACCATTTTTTGAAGGAGGTCAGTCGTAAGCCCGATTAGTTCACTGGAAATATCTCGGAGTGTAACATTGAGTGACGGAGGTATGAACTCTATGGTGGACAGCATCTCTTAGGGGATTGCAGATAAGCCTTGCTGACAACGGGTACCAACAAGCTGGAAACATAGTTGCAGGGCTTTCTGGCGTCAATGGTAAAAAACAACGAAGACAGTACTTCTGGGGATTTATTTCTCAATGTTCTGAGAACTTTTATTAGCTACGTGTATATATATAGAATAGGATTTGTCTGCTTCTTGATTTGAGTATTGAGATTTTGACTGACAAATGTCGAAATTGACAGTAATGATAAACACAAATAGTACTCGTTTCCTTATACATCTCAAATATGATCAGATTCCCTCATATTTTTCATTCATCCCATATCTTAACTTGTCTTCCTTTTCCTTCCTACTTTTCTTAAGTAGTATTTTGTAGTCCTTTATCATTAATTTAAACACCTTGTGAACAGCTTGACTTTAGTGAAATATCACTTCCGAAGATTGCAGACGTGATAAATAAATCTGTGTCTCGTTGGATTAGATACTGAAGATCTAACCACCTGGCCATAGGTTCGAACCCTACTATATCTGCCAAGGTTTCGACAGTCGGACAGTTTCATTAGCCTTCACACCATAGGTGTGGCCTATTTCCAATTGGATGGGAATACAAGTTGGAATTCATGGGCCATTGCATGAGGTCCCAATGGCTTAATGGTCTACAAGCTCTCCAACTAACCAGATGGTCCTAAGTTTGAACTGCCAGGAGTGTGTACTGCTGAAAAGCTTTACACTAGGACGAAACAGCTGTACAGTACTTCCAGGTTTTCCAATGGTCAGCTCATGATGAAATCTTGTAACCAATCAATCAAATCCCTACAAACCAATACTTGACAAGTACCTTTGTCACATATTTATTATTTCCCAAGGGACTTTTTCTCATTGAAAAAGATAGCTGGGATTACAGAGTTGATTTCTTATGCGCAATGACAACTACTAAGGTTGGAGAAAAACGATTTTTAGAGTACTATTTATGCATCGCAATCCCCTTTAGATAATAATATACAGTCCGAAAACTCACTAATTTGAATTCTAACCTGGAGTGTAATTACGAGTAATAAACTTTCTGTGTGAAATTCACTCATTACTTGTCACAAATGTATGCTTCAAAATCTGACAACCCTTTTACAACGTATTATAACCACAATTTCAACAGGATTTGAATCATCTGCCTCCAGACTATTAGCCCGGAGTCCTACCTCATGATCTACAAGACCCATATGCTAACAAATTCATTGCTTTACCACAATCCTTAAGCATTTTTTTATTCCTTCACGTTCCGAGTGGAACATGGGGCTTCAAGCTAGAAGCTTGAAGTTTCTATAGCAGTGTTTATTTTTACAGGATGGGGTCGCTAGCCACATGCCCAACCTTTCCTCTTTACCAGCTTTTATTTCTGGCTTAGCGAGGTAAAGGAGTGTGTCGGCCGGGATTCGAACTCCGGACCATGTGCATGGTCGGCGAGCGTCCTAACCGCTATGCCACCGACACAATCCTTAAACATAATGCCAAGATTTCATGTGAGTACGTGATAAATTACTTTCGGTGTATTATATTACTGGCTGTTTTGCCGAATCTACTGCTGTCATTGTGAATCCTGTTGGATTAGTAGGAGGACAAAGTAGTTTTTGTTGAATGGTGATGAGAATATCTGAGATTGTCGTACTAGGAATTCGGTGACCTATCGACGTCATCGACCATCATCCATTACATCAGTAGTAATCCACCAACCCAAAACTATTTTCAGTGGTCTCAACATCAAGTCTGTTAATCAGAAGCGCATTAAAAGGTTTACTGACGGAGAAATCAGTTAAAATATATTTATTTCCTGTATTCCTAGTACTACAATAGTGATTAAAATGAGATGATACCGACATCCTAACAGACGGTTAGGACGGTTAGAACGCTCGCCGATCATGCACATGGTCCGGGGTTCGATCCCTGGCCACAGACGCACTCCTTTACCTCGCTGAGCCAGAAATAATGCTGGTGAAGAGGAAAGGTTGGGCATGAGGCTAGCAACCCCATCCTGTAAAATAAACACTGCTACAGAAACTTCAAGCCACTAGCTTGAAGCCCTATGTTCCACTGGGGAACGTGAAGGATAAAAAAAACAACAAATATCAGATTTTCTACTACTGGAAAACTTAAAGTATTCTTAATATATACCTAGTAACATTTGAAAAGGAACCAATACCTCTAGTACTTTCAAAAACTTGAAACTGTGTAGCATCACCAGTGTGTAGAGAAGCTATGAAAGCTTAAACGAAAATAGTTTCCATTTTTAATTGTTCAGCTTTTAGTAAAGTGATTAAAAACGTCCAAAACTTTGAATAATCATAATAACAATAATAATAATATACTTCCTTGATATCAGGCCTACAGCCTGTAATTTTCTAGTCATTGTAGAATCTACTCAAAACTTTAATCGAATCGGAAGAAAGAATAACTCCATTATGGATAAGATTTTATTTTGATAAATCACACAGTGTTGTACAGTAATATCAGTTAATATTACTGTACAACACTGTGTGATTTATCAAAATAAAATCTTATCCATAATGGAGTTATGCTCTACCACAGTGCACAAGTTTTATACGGAAGAAAGAATGTCGAGAATTTTAAATATTCGGCTTTTATTTTATAGATCTGGTAGGGTCACAAACGTATTTCAGATACGGTCAATGAATCAATCTTCCACAGCATTTCTGACAACGTCAACCTAAACAACAGCTGTCTCCGCTCTATGCTGAAGATCAGATGGCCGGAAAGAATCACCAACAAGAAACTATGGGAACAAACAAAACAAGAACCAATCGCCCAACAAATATGCAGGAGAAAGTGGAGATGGATTGGACACTCGCTGAGGAGGCCGCTGGGTGACATCGCGCGTCAGGCCATTGCTCGAGTGGAACCCGAAAGGGAAGCGGCGAGTGGGACGTCGAAGGGTGACATGGAGGAGATCGTGTGAAGAGGAGTTGAAACAGTATGGATTAACATGGATGCAGGTGAAAAGTACAGCAGAAGACAGAAGCAAGTGGAGACGTGCAGTTGAAGCCCTATGTTCCACTAGGAACCCAAGGGAACAATAATAATAAAAATAACCTAAACAAGCTTCTGGATGTGATATCTTTAAACATTCTGAACACTAAAGCAAATATATATGTACGTAGAAGTATTGATTCACATCTGAAATTGAATAAGTTATCCCTTTCGATACGTTAAACCTCGTAAGTTAGGTAAGAAGTAAAGTGTATACAACGACATAAAAACTACTGACAGATATCTCCCTGAGAATTGGGAATTTCACATAGACAATGTACTTTGATTCAAAGCAGATTAGTATATAAAAAGATAAATGGCTCAAATATCTATATTGGGTCACAATATCATATGAATAAATAAGTGATTATCTAACATGATCATATTGAGCAATTTAATCAACATAACTAGCAAAAAGAAACATAATTCATAGTCTCTTGTTTTTCCCAGGCTTACAGGTGTGTGTGTTTTGCCATGTGATACTATGATCCAAATAATAGAATGCATAACTACTGGATTAGGTATGTTATTATCATTATTCTCTTGGGATAGGAGTGCAGCATAAGGTTGTAGCGTGCGTCGGTGGCGCAGTGGTAACGTGCTCGTCGACCACGCCGGTGGTCCGGGGTTCGATCCCCGGCCACAGACGCACTCCTCTACCTCGCTTAGCTAGTAATAAGACTGGTAAAGAGGGAAGGTTGAACATGAGGTTAGCAACCCCATCTTGTAAAAAAATCACCACTGCTACAGAAACTTCACAGCTCTAGCTTGAAGCGGCCTATGTTCCACTGGGAACGTAAAGGAATAAAAAAATAATAAGGTTGTAGCAACAAATTCTCTGAAGCCTTTCTTAATTGCCTACATGATTGCCCTTAAGCTTTCATCTCCTGCTTACATGATCTCCTGCACATTACCTTTGGATTCCCAACTTGTCGTTCCCCATTGGTATTCCACTCGAAGATCTGCTTGGCGTGTACTGTCACTCAGTGGTCTCATCAACGTGTGTCTGATTCATTTCCGTTACTCTCAGTATACTTAGATCGTGCATGCATCAAACTAGTTCCTGTAATTTATAAATATCCAGATTTGTGGAATAATTCGAGTACTGAGTTATAAGATTACATCATGTAGTCCCAGAGTGTTAAGAAAATCAAAAGAAGATTTTTGTTCCTCCGAAAGTTTCACTGTGTGAGCCACAACTTTTTCAACAGAGTGGTCTGAAATTACTCAGCTCTCGAATCTGAGTGAAGCTGGATATCTGACT